AGAAGGGGGGACAGGGGAGTTGCTGATGGGGAGGGTGGCGTGAACACGAGGAGAGGGTCACCTGGGAAGGAGAAGGCCAGGGCAGGAATAGCCACTGACAGCTGTCCCCAAGGCGCATAGTCACGGAATATTTGCTTGTTGAGAAGCTCTCGGGTGACAAGACAGGAGCTGGGCGGTGGCCTTCGCAGGGGTCCGCTGAGGGCTCTGCGTGGGGCAGCAAGCTATGGCTGGTGTTCCTTCAGGACGCCAGGCCCTCGCTTAGGATGAGAAAGTTCCATGTCTGGAAGGCGTTTGGCAGGTTCTGCGGGCTCTAAGAAGGCTTCCTAGAAGTAACATCTAACCAGAACTTCCGGTCTGTAGAAGGTAGTTCCTTCCGCGGGACAGAACAATAGATTGCTGGGGGTGGATTTGCTGAATGACAGAGTGGGGAACTTTTTTCCCCCCTCTCAGGCCTGCTTGCTAGACAACCATTCTACTGCACAGCCCCACAGCCCAGAATGGAGACCTCTTAAGGACAGTCATTTTTCTTTATTATTATTTGTGTGGTTTCCCCCCAACATTTTATCCCGAAGTTCTCAGACATACAGCAAAGTTGAAAGAATCTTACAATCTCATCCATGTGCCCACCACCCACTCTACTTGCTACTAACACTACTCACATTTTGGTGCATTTCAAAATAAGTTGCAGGCACCAGGACACCTCACAAAGCACACCATTGTGTAGTCCTTGTCACTGGTTCCATGTTTTTTCACGACTTTCTTTTCTTTTGTTTTAACTCTGCATGACCCAAGGTTCTCAAATCTCTTTGCACATGAATTCCCACAACCAGAAATGCTTAGTTCCTAGTTGTGGAAGTACACAGTAGTAAATAATTCCACTAAGCTGCCTCAGTGAACCCCAATTGACAGGAGTGCCTTGGGACATTTGAGATGGCATAGATTTTCCAGGGCCAGTACAGTGCTAAAGCTTAATTGTGTAAGAAAACTACAACAGGCCACAGAGGGTTAAGGCTGACTAAAGCATACTGGAAACTGATTTGTGACTGAGAGTCCACGGAAGATGAAATACTGGGGCCTCCGGTATTAAGAGAAGGCCCAATGGAGGTTGACTTGGTAGTGGGCTTGGAAGGATAATGAGTTACCAGGAGGTGCAGAATTTTTTTTTTTTTCCTGGGGATGGGCAGTAAGGACTACCCCAACAGAACCAAATGGTGATTCTGTAGCTTGCAGCCTGCTTCCTTCCAGCTTGTCCCCAGACACACACCCAAGTCCTCCCAGTCAATGGTGAGCTGCCCTTTAGCTTTCCTGAATGCCTTCAACCCCCTCAGTGGTTTGGACTGAATGGAGATAGGATGACAAGGTGCTTCCTATTGAAGGTCTTAGTCCTTGGGCTCCAGCAGGATCCTATCTCAATACTTCTGAGTGGCCCTAGGGCCCTTTAGAGTCCCCCCTGATGCCCTGCTCGTGCTGTTCTTTTCTCCTCTCACTGGCATGCAGATTAGTCTCTAGGATCCTGTTCAAATGTTCTCTCTATACGAAGACTGTATTTGTTGCTTCCTTCTCAGGACTCCCTGAGAAAGCCTGTTGTCCTCCTTAGTTATGGATTGTTTTAGCTGATCACCTATGAATCTCTCTGCCCATTGGCTGCTTAGGCTTCTAGGAACCACAACCCTCGTTGGTTCATGTCTGAGCCTCAGCACATCTTATAGGACAAAGAGCAGTATCTGTTATGGATGTTCCATAATCCTGTTCTCAGTGACATCTCACTCATAGCCTGGGGGAGGGGGGGTTGAATGTAGTACTTCCAGACCTTGAAATGTCCATTTCTTTGGAGAAAATAGGTAGTTTGGGACTCTCTCCAGAGGAAGAGGAGGGAGGAGAACAGAGTAGTTAAGAAGAAATGAAGGGTATTCCTGGAAGTGACTCTTAGGAACTGAGAAAAGCCGGGCGTTGCTGGCACACAACTTTAATCCCAGCACCCAGGAGGCAGAGGCAGGTGGATCTCTGGTTCAAGGCCCAGCCAGATCGAGTGCCAGGATAGGCTCCAAAGTTACACAGAGAAACCCTGTCTTGAAACCCCCCACCCAAAAAAAAGTACTGAGAAAAGGGAGTTGGTTATTTCAACATGCAATGGGTAGATAGTTCATGGATTATGGATTTTGTTATCCGCCAAGGTCTGGGGAAAGCATAATCTGTTTCCTCTCTGTCCTCAAGCCATTTGAATATGGGGTGGCGAAGGCAGAGTTCCAGAGATGCTGGAACATACATCAGAGACACCTGTCTCTCCTTAGAAGATGGCTCTGGCAAGCTGGGGACCGGAGAAGCCTTTATCTCCTTGCCTGGCTGGAGGGGAGTACTGGGCTGTCAGTGAGAGGGAAACAGTGTTTCAGATGTTGGGTATACAGAATTGCTGGTAAGGCAATATAGCCTAGTCCAAGGGTTTTGTAACTAGTTAATTCTCCCTCCTGGCTATTTGTTGACAACTATCTGTCTAGACAGTGGTTCCCAGAAGTGTCAGGTGGTAGGTTGGACTTTGACCAAAAGGTCTGTAAAGGGCCAACAAGTAAATATTTTGAATTTTACAGGCCATTTCATGGTATTTTTCTACTGACAGTAAGTAAAAGAAAGGATGTGGTTTTTGTTGGCAGATGTCCTTAGCACCCGGAGGCTGAGAGGGAGACTCACTTGAGTCCAGGAGTTCAAGGCTATCCTAAGCAGCATGGTGAGACCCTATCTCAGAAAAGAAAAGAAAAAAGAAAACCTGCTGGGTGTGGTGGTTCATGCCTTCAAACCCAGCCCTGGGGAGGCAGAGGCAGAGACGGGGCAGATCTCTATGAATTCAAGGCCAGCCTGGTCTACATAGGGAGGCCTTGTTTTGAAAGGAAGAAAGGAAGAGAGAGGGAGAGGGAGGGAGGAAGAAGGAAGAAAGACCTGTACCTATGAAAGTTCTCCAAAAAGCCTGTTCTTGGGTTTTGGCCTAAGGGCTGTAGTTTGTAGTTTGTTGATCCTGAATTAAGGCCACCAACTGAAGTTCTTGATCAGTAACATTTTCACCAGTTAATCCTGAAGTAAGAAAATTGGAGGGCGTGGGAAATTTTATGAGAATCTAAATTTATTCTCTATTTTCTTTAACATTGGCTGATTGATGTATAGAGAGGGGCTGCATGCCATGACCCTCAGGGGACAATTTGGCCAGAGTCAGTTCTCTCTCCCACTACATAGGTTCCAGGGATCAAACTCTGGTCAACAGGCTTGACAGCAAGCCTCTACATGGAGCCATCTAATTGGCCCAATTTATAAGCCCCCTCCACACACACACACATTCCTATCGTTTGTTTGGTTTGGATTTTGAGACAGGGTCTCTCTATGTAGCCCTGGCTGTCCTGGAACTCTCTCTGTAGACCAGACTGACCTCAAACTCAGACATCTGCTTGCCTCTGCCTCCCGAGAACTGGGAATAAAGGCATGCGCCACCACCACCCGGCTCAATTTATTCTCTTTTTAAGAGCATTCTCAATTTTGAGATTTCTCTGTCTTGCCTACAGGGTCATCCTTTGTCTGATGAGAATGGTAGTAGGGGTGGGGCGGGTGGGGGGCAGTTTTTGGTTGTTAGGCTTAGAGCATCCTAAAACTCAGACTGAATTCTCCCTTTGAGATTCCAGAAGCCTGCTATGTGTAAATGCCAGGAGCCTCCGCTCTGCACAGGGTAGTGCATAAGTAACCAGCCTCTCTCCCATTGTGCCTTCTCTCCTTCCTGCTTTGGTCATGTTTGCTGACAGCTGTTATTGGAGCTGGGATCGGGGGCTCTGCCGTGGCCCATTTCCTTCAGCAACACTTTGGACCCCGAGTGCAAATTGTCGTCTATGAGAAAGGGGCTGGAGGTGGCAG